CCCCAAATTCAACCAAATATGTTATTAGTTTCAATCATAATTTAATCTAATTTTTTTTTCAAACATATAATACTCAAAAGTTAGGGGGACCAATTTAGAAAGAAGGTCGTAGTTTGAAGATGAAATTGAAATTTATAAAAGTTTGAGGATTAATTTAGAATAATAGTCATAGTTTAAAGATAAAATTAAAATATTAAGAAGTTTATGGACCAATTTAAAATAAAAGCCATAATTCAAGAACATATAATGCAGTTAACTCTGATAGTAATTAACTAAGTTGTTAAACGCCATCATTAGTGCCTAGGACATGCTTAGTAAGTTAATCTCCGTGGGACGCTACAGCTCATGAGTTGGTAAGATCATAAAGCATTTGTAATATGTGTTTAAGAATGATAAAAAATAAATACTCACCACCATCAACCAATTAATCTATTGAGATGAGACACTAAATTCATTAAGTAATGTTAAGTGTTTGAATCTTGACGATTGCGATGGAGCAAATTGGGTTGAGAGAATCGTCTTTGTCTCTGCAATACTCGATCTGGATTAGTCGTTCAATAGATCAGATACTGATAGTTATACAAAAAAAATACTCGCCAGCAAGAATAAACCGAGAGGTGTTGGGGTACAATTGCGCTCTTAGAATTTTTAATTTTTTTTATTAATTATCTAATTTCGGATCTTTAAATTTTTTTAACTTCACACCCTAAAATTTTTAATATAATTTCCTATTTTCATATCCACATAAATTTTTATATTTGTCTCTACGAATGGCTACTTTGTATTGATTAGTAGCCAGAATCCGAGGTGTAGAAAATGAGAGCATTGCTCTTGTGCCTGCAATGCTACATGATACCCCACTTGCTGAGGTTTTACAGGCAAAAACAAGAGATTTGATTGTGTCCTCCACTCCAAAGTGCATCACTTTATCATACATTCTAGGACAAATTACACCTTTAATACTTAAATTATTAATTTTAATTATTTTAAAATCATACCTAAAATTTAATTTTTATTATATTTTAATATCCATTATTAAAAACTTTAATTTTTGTTTCATTTTAATACTCATATTCATAATTTGAAGTTAAATTTTAAAAAAATTAAAAATTAAGATATTAAAATAGATAAAAACTTATAATTTAAATATTAAATACGTTAAATTTTTAACGTCGGTATTAAAATCTCGACGCATAATAGACAACAAAATATTATCCTTATATTAAGTCTATCCAACATATTTTTGAAGATACAACAATCGACACGTGAAAAGGTGACAAACGACAATGATTCCCTGTTTATTTCCTACATTCAAATCCAGCAGAGATATTTTTGTTCTTCATTACCTGTTACCTTCTGGGTTAAAAAACCACCGTCGGAACTTTAACAAAACTTTTCCCGGTAAAACTTATACCAAGTGTCGAACAATGAGGAAAGCGGGCGCCCGCTTGAGATTCGAAGCCCCAAAGAGGAAGGCATCCCTTAGCGAAATGTACGCGGGTCGTGTCAAGCGGGTTACGGACGTGCCCGAGTCGATAATGATGCCTCCGTTGTCGTCTCGGCCCATTTTGAACAACGAAGGTCGGATCTTGGGAACACATGTTCCACCAACACTGATCCCCAACAGAGTAGTAAAGTGTCGAGCTTTGGATTCGTTAGCAGAGGAGTGAACACGGGTCGAAAACCATAGAGGACGGTTTAGAAGAAGCGGAACGGTCCATTAAAGTATGAAAACTTCCGGTTGAGCCGGCGTCCTGTCTGGGTAGAAACGATAATCTCCCCCTACAAAGGCCTAACAAACTGGCTGCACCGACGAACAAGCACTGATTGGTGTGACCACATCCGAGCGCCACGCATCCCACCCTATTTCTTCTGAATGTCAGCGTTCAGTCAAGAAATCACCGAAAGTAACCGAACCGTCGCCGTAGGATACTTTGTAAAGACACATTCGACAGTGGTTACATCCCGACGAGTCTAGGCTACGGCAAAGTGGGGATCCACATAGAATACCGGATAAAGACCGTGATTTAGTCGGGTCGAATATCAGGTCTGTTTGAGAGTAGCATTTCTTGAATGGTGAACACTGGACCCAAATGACGTCGCTACCGGTGTCGAGCACCATGTAAAGGTACCTAGGAGGAGTTCCAACACCGAGGCGCATGAAGTACTCTCCACTACCTTGAGCGAGCCCGAAAATTACAGAGCTACAGAACCCAGGACGTCCGTCCGGCGCACGTGGATGTTGACGAGCGACTGCTTTGGAAACATGAGAGTAGATTGTTTCGACACGGAGTGCGTCGCGTTGGAGACGGAGGTCGAAGAGGCGGTCCGGTGTTTCGTCAGATGACAAAGCATCCACGTGGTGCAATTCTAACTGCAATCCCAGTCTCGTGTTGGAATTAACCGTGTCAAGTTCAGAGGTTTCGATGAGGGAGTCGGATGCAGGGTCGGAATTTGACCAAATGAGAGCGGACACTGACGGTATCGAGCGGACAAGTAGGGAATGGAACTCAAAAGGGGATGCGACAGCGGGGGAGAGGGGGAGGAGGAGGAGAATAACAGAGGAAGAAAAGATAAGGGTGCTTTTTAATTTTCTACCCCATTGAATCGAGTGACTGAATAATTCAATGATGAGACATTGGAAGATGGGTTTTTTATATAATGGGATGTGGAAAAAATTATAGATAAAGATGAAACATTTGCACCTAAATTCACTGTTTTTTTCGTCAGGTTTTAAAATTATCTTAATTTAAATTTATTTGGGTCGTACATCGAATTGTGATAAGTGATTTCTCAACAGATATTATATACATACGAAATTTTACTTAAATGACATTAATCTGATTATCAGTTGGATTAACCCCTATTGATTATAATAATGTTTAATTAGTGTGAATCAATAGTATATGCATAAGTACGAGATTATCGATATTGTCATAATCCATCTTCTCCTAGACATGTTTGCTCTGATAGCAACGACACGATGGCATTTCCCATGTTATCAGTTCCCTATATTGAAATAACTTCAGGTGACCGAACAATCACTCTCTATATATATGCATACATACCTACATGCATTCATACATACATGGAGTATTTCATATGTTTTCGGTAAATTATCTGAGCCCACATGTCCTCTAAAGCAAAGAAAACAAGATATATATATATATATATATATATATTTACACGATTACAATTTACACACACGTAGATAAGATGAAAAAGAAATGGGGCCTAAGATATGGACTATAGGGATAGCTACAAATTGACAACAAAACCATTACCTTGGCCCCGTATTTGGACGCCCCCATTGGACCACCTTCAACACTCATCTTCTTATTGAAGGGATCTTGCCCTTCAATAACCCATAGTTTTAAGGAATGTCAAAATACCCGAACTCAACTCGATAGGGGTGAGATTTTTTTTATTGAAATTTCGGAATTCGAAACGGAATGGGACGAGTTATATAATAGGTAGGTTTGGGTGGAGCAGGGTCGGCTTTAAGGTGAAAAAACATTGACCTGATTCAGTTATATATATATATATATATTTAAGATATTAAAGAATTTTATTTTATAATGTTAAAATATGTTATTTAATTATTAAAAATATAGTAAATTATTATAAAATATATATATTTAATAATTTAAATATAATACATGATTAAATAAATATTATTTTAATTAAGCAATACATTTCGAGTCGAGGTTGAGGTCGGACGGCCAAAAAACCGATCTGTTCCGTCCTGTATCATGCCCATCCCTACTTAGTTTAAGCCCTATGATGCTTATACATAACAAGAAAAGACTATATTATATATTTCAATTGGATTGTGAGATGTGGGCTGATATAATTGGTGGAAACACAAATGTTCCTTCCGTTTTCAAGCCGTTTCTTTAATAAAGATAAACTATATAAATGATCATTAATATTGAATACATTTTAATTGTTTTACATAAATTCTAAAAATAATAAATTGATCACTAACATTATTGATTTATAATAAATCAGTCACCTGCCGTAAATAACCATTACTTTCGTCACAAAAAAATAATCCGATGCGTTTAAAGTGTCGAATTGTCATTGTTAAGCCACATAAGATCATTAACCAACCATTTTCTATTGTTTTAATAATGATCCCCAGCAATTGATGTTGTAATAATCCTATATAATTCTAAGGCAAAAAGGTATGTGAGGTCATCGTATCTTAAGAAAAATAATGTGGCCCTCATATTTTTACACTACCTTTAAACTTAGAAAACATATTTGATGTGACCATTTGACCAATGATTTCTTTTATTGATTATTACAGTGTTGATGTGATAATCTACAGTGATTGATGACGTGATTGATGACGTGATTGATAATGTGAACAACTAGAGAAAAAAAATTCATAACTATGTGGAGATTCACGTTTTACATGTTTCAACATCCCAAATCATGCTAATACGAAGCAAATACATAAGCTAATGATGATTAATTTGCACTTCCCACAAGCCTTGTACCTAAAAGCCATAAGAAAAAGGGGAGTAAAAGAAGGGTAAATACATATTATAAATGTCATAATATTAATGAGGTACACATGTTTCATCTAATGAAGAATGGACCGCCACATTTAATTTGTTTAGACCATCTCCGTTTCATTGGCGGCGTAGTAGTTGGACTTAGATTTCACATAAGCTTTTTCTTTTTCGTTATTTAAGGACGTATAATACTAATAGTACCATATACCTTTCATTCCAACACATGCATGGACCCCCTTCAACATCATGCATTCGATTTTATGTTTGTGAAAATAACGAATCTTTAAAGATATTAGTATCGCACCCAATTAAAATAATAGAGGACCTAATTTTAAATGTTTAGAAAGTATAAGTGCTAAGAGAAAAATTAGACCCAAGAAAAATGCAGCGGCTATAGTCGCAATCCTAAACGTAAACAAGTGGTGCGTAAGCTTATATAAATGCTCTCGCAACACTTCAGGAAGCTGCTCTAATGTAATGGAGCAACCACCATATACCGGAGACGACTTCAACGCCTCCACCGCCGCTGAGGTTCAACCGAAGTACGATCCGAAGGGAGGCGGCTCACGGCATCCCATCTACCGGGGTGTCCGTAAGAGGCGTTGGGGCAAATGGGTGTCCGAGATTCGGGAGCCGCGCAAGAAGTCACGCATTTGGCTCGGCTCGTTTCCAGTGCCGGAAATGGCCGCTAAGGCCTACGACGTAGCGGCGCTTTGCTTGCAAGGACGTAAAGCGCGGCTCAACTTCCCCGACGAAGTGGATGATTTGCCTATACCCTCGACGTGCACGGCTCGAGATATTCAAGCCGCAGCGGCGAAGGCTGCTCATTTGCCCGCTTCGGCGAATAAAATTCAAGAAGAATCGTCCGAGGACGGGGACGATTTCTGGGAGGAAATAGAACTGCCGGAGTTGATGAACAGCGGATGCCGGTGGGCGTTCGCCGACGACTAGTTGTGGCTAGACGGAGAAGCTCAACCACAGCAACACTTCTTGACATGTCTGTAATTTTTTTTTTTGAAAAAAGTCCATAAACACCAACCTCTTGTCTTCGCTGGTTATGAACGTATTTAGCATTATACCACATAAATTCACCATTAATTCACTCTTTCCCCTTCAATTTTTAGGGTTTGAGATTAATTATTTTTGATTTATTTTCACCATTAACTCACTGTCAGCTGCATGAAGGTGTGCGTGAATGTGATTTTCTGTTGCTTTTAGATCTAAACATCGAAGAATACGATTGACTCGTTAGTTTTTGAAGCTATTAGACAGATATATAAATAATATGCTTAAAAAAAACTATGTATACGGAGTTCACATGATAGTTTAACGTGATAGATTAACGTGATGAATGACATGATAGATTAATTAAATTGGTTATTCAAAACATGGTAGATGAAGTGTCATGTTAACATCGTTGACTGTCACGTTAACATTGTAAACTGACATACCACTACTATAACGGTTAATAACGAAAAAAGTTGGTAAAAAGATTGCGTTAAGTTTATTTTTTAAACCGGAAGATCGCATTAATAAAAAAAATACGATTACTAAATTAATTTTTTTTAAAACATCGGAACGTGTGTGGAACGGTTAAAAATGGATTTCCTCACTGTTTGCATAGCTCCCCATATAATGACCACAGTACCTTATACATTGTGTAACGTTTCACAACCTGATTGGTTTTTGAAATACCAAATCATCACATGTACCAATTTAAGAGTTCTTCCAAGTTCAAGTACCAGATTGAACAGGTAGTAAAGTTCAGATACCAATCGAGTTATATCCTAACCCTTCAAAATTTTATTATTTACTTCTAACCCCCTAAAGAAATTCCTAGCTCCATCCCAGTTGATGAATGAAGTTCCAAGAGGATAAGATACAAGTGCATGCAAATAATTTAAGGGGCCGGGGAGCTGAGCTGAGCATGAAAGTGAAGCCATCCATATGTGAAGACGACATAAAACAAGTGGAAGCCAGAACGTCAAATAAATTTAATGGCTTGTTATTTTAGTCCCTCTAGTATGTTGAAATCTATAGTTTCGGCCCTCTATTTTAATTTGGCATAATTGGTATCTCTATTTTATAATACTTTTAGTTAACACCATACCTGTTGTTAGTAAGTGATGGTGTGGTTTTTTTTTTAGTCGTATAGTGGGTTATTTGAAAACTCAACATGTTACCTACGACTAGTTGGGATGAAACACTAGATCCCTTAAGTAAGGTCAGATGTTCGAATTATGACAATTGTGAATGGAGAAAATTGGGATTGGGAGGGTTACCCTTACTTCTGCAGAACTTGATCCGGATTAGTCGATCAATAGATCGCATACCCGGTGATTATACCAAAAAATAAAATTTAACCTATCTGTTCAACTGAGTAAGTTTACATATTAGTCAAATTCTTAATGCTTTTTTCCAAAATAAGTCTATGTCGGCATTTTAACGATAAAACTATTTACGATATAAATTTGGATTTATTAAAGATCAACCATAGTAAATTAAAATAAATTTTAACGATAAAACTATTTACGATATATTTTGGATTTATTAATAAGATCAACCATAGTAAATTAAAATAAAGGACTAAATCACACTTTTAGCATAGATGAGGGATAAAAATGAAAATTAACCGTTTTAGAGAAGGCGAGGCCATAGCTAGGGCTATAAATGAGCCTAGTCGAGCTTGAGTATTGCTAAGCTCGACTCAACTCGAAAACTCAAAAATGGAGCTCGGTTCGGCTCAAAAACTCGCGAGCCTAAAATTTTCAAGCTCAACTCGAACTCGAAACCATGAATTGAAGCTAGTAAAAACTCGAAATGAAAAACTAATCTTAAACTTAACTCAATTGAAGTTTCAAACTCGAACTCGAACCTAAAACTTTAATATTTGAATACCATATGAAAAAGATCACACATAAATGTTAATATTAAATAAATAATTTTTAAAAAAATTTAATATATTATATTTTCGAGTTGTTCGCGAGCTTTTCTAGTTGAATATCAGGTAGCTCGATTCAGCTCGTTAAGCATTCGAGTCAAGTTCGAACACGAATCGAATCCATTTAAGTCAAATATTTATCAAGTTTTAACCTAATCGATCTCAAGTAGCTCACGATCTGTCTCGTCTCATTTACAGCCCTACCCATAGCTCGAAAGCTTGTAAGCTGGGCTTCTTATTGGAATCTGATATTATTTTGAGTCGAGCTTGAAATTCAAGGTCCCCGTGTATCTTTCTATTTTAAAAGGAGGCCCAAATTTTAATTTATTCAAATCAAAACCCAACCATACTGTCTCTCATACATAAACTTTAGTACACCATAATTATACCCTCTTTAAAATCAAAGAAACATTTAGAAAATTCACAAACTCTAATAAGTTTGGGAATGCTTAAATAAGTGATTTTGGCCTAAATTTCGTTTGCAATGTAAAAGGATCTTAAACAACTTATTTTTAGCCAAAAATTCATGTTTGAAACGTAATTATTGACTCGAAACAAAAGGCTAAAAAAATTTGTACTTTTACGTTGAAAAACTCGTTTGGAGAACATTTTGAAATGAATCGAGCCGTAAATGGAACCAGGCTAAAACGATGCAGGTAAGGTAAAATAATAGAAGTCGTGCTACTGGCTTTCTCCTTGTCCCAGTTGGTTTAGTGCTTGTCATTTAGCTATCTCAACCAAGGTTCGAGAGCTGGTACTGAAATAATAATAAATAAAATAATAATACCTCACAATTAAGGTATTCTAAAATACCTTTTTTTGGGGCTTGGACTTTGTAGTAATTTCATGTAATCACGGTCTGATTCTTGAACTCTGTTTCCCTCTGCATTTTCAAGCATCAACTAATCAAGAACTTTAATGAAGCCCCACCTTTAATCTTGCTTAATATCCTATGTCGTGTTCTCATGTCCAGTACTGGTATTTTGTTTATGATTCCAGTTCTTCTTACTTATCAGTATTAAATTGTTTTGTTTTGTCGAGCTCGAAGATAAGCTTGTTTTCACCTTTTTATAGGCAGAACAAGAGACTGGTTAGGTTTATGCTCAGATCACTTTGCAGCCCGAAGCAATGTAAGTCATGCCACCCTTCCCATTGGAAAGTCTACTTGTTTATGGTGCATAACTAGTACTAGCTCGACAACGAAACAGAGAAAACCGAAAAAACTGATCCGAACGGATTTCGAATGTAACTTAATTTTATATCTAGAAATACATTATACAGTGTGGTGTGGTCTCATCTCATAGTCAGAATCTGAGCTGGCATCACTTTCCCCCTTCCCTTGACAAAACTACTTGTTTATTCGAGCTCGAATCCAAGACTGTGATAAAGGTCGCGGCAGCAGTGTCGTCAGTGGAAGACACTAAACGATGCGGTGAATGCGGAGATGGGGGGAGGTGGTCGATCTCACTCTCCCAAGGGCCATGGCATTGACTTTTCTTATTCTCCACCTCTCAATCATCACCCAACTACTCCATTTGTTCCATAGCTGGGCCGCATTGTTCTTACCTGTGATTTCTGGAATAAATGGTCAGTATCCCATGAACACAAAAATATTCCAAGTCACTTCAATGGGACTATTTTCATAGTTAATGGCCATCTTTATGTGCATCAAGGATGAGGCTGCGAGTGCTTAGAGTTAGAGACTATCGCTGCTTTAAAGCCTCAACATAGTAAAAGACAATACTATATTAGTACTAGAATTCAAGTTAATATTAATAGCCAACATGAATAATGTATTTTGGTAAATTTCTGTTTTCGATCCTCTACCATACTTAAATTCTGTTTAAATTAAAGCACACGACTAGAATTAGAACATAATATAGGGACCAAAACCAGAATTTGACCTTCATATTTTAGTATTAACTCATTACAATAGTTGTTTTGAAGTTTCTTGGAGAATTGCAGCTGTTATCCATTGAGCTCTTTCATTTTACTTACCTCATGCATTAATCTATATTTCTAGATGCTCAAAAGTCATAATGTATCTTAAGTTTTTAACGGCTGGTACTAGAATGAACAAAAAATTAAACGTTAAGTATAATTTAAAAAAAATGAAAGTTTAAATATTAAAACATACCAAAATTGATAGTTATATACTAAACATGTAATTTACCCTTTAATAAATGCAGATAATGAAGTTGTTGAACTTACTTTTCCCGCATGCTTCAACCACTCTCTTTATACTCTGTCTCATATAGAAAAAACCACTCTGCTTTTAGTGCTGTTCCACCTCCTATCATTTTTTGCTACCAAACTTGTAAATTAACCCTAACCGCTTTTAAACGCACGTATCTCTAATGTTTATGGTGTTCAAATCTGAATCTTTAAGAATTATCACGGTTACTTAGTCGGTGCATATCTAACCGTCGGTCTAATCCGGATTGGAGAGGCCATTAAAGGGCTGTCCATATATGTTATCTATACAAGACATTTTCATCAATGTAGTTGTACATATATGTTATCCACACGTGTTTGATCGCAAATATGCATCTATGACACATGTTCCCTAACCTACTACAATGGTGTGACCATAATCTAACGAATGTACATCGTGCATTAATGGATGGTAATTAAATTTCGCTGTTAGCATGCATGTAACATCATGAATAATGAACATAATCTTAATTTTGCTTCTCCTCGTTTCTGGTCTAATTATATCATTAATCCTTATAGTATACAAAATGTCACAAGTTTAATTTATAAGACCTTCAAAATCAATAGAATTACAACACAATTATTCGATGTAGTATACGTTCAAAGAATATCAACTATTTAACAATAAATGCTCATATCCCTACATATGCGATGCTCACTCGATACAAACAAATCTTATTTAACTCAAGTCGAAAAATATAATAACTTGAATTATTAAATTAGGGTAAAGTAATTAAATTCTATATATAGTATAGGGGCTAATAGGGAAGTTTACCCTTTTGCTAATGAGTTTTTCTCACGGCTTCCTCCTCCTTCTCCTCCTCCTCCTCCCTTTCCCTACGTTAAAAATACACTTTCCCTGCTCCTTTCCTTATATAACAATAAACATTAGTTACCACTTTTCGGAAGTAACCAAACCATGGGGTTTGAAGCAGAGAAAGAGTCATCGAGGTTACTATTGTTTTCATCTCCACATGCACACATGGCGTCACCGGAAAGACCAGGGACGTTAACCCCACCGTTACGCGCCTCGGCCTCGGTCCCGTTCCGGTGGGAGGAGGAACCAGGAAAGCCCAAGGCTTACGCCACTTTTCCGATGACTTTGCTCGGATGCCTGCAACTGCCTCCCAGGTTGCTTCTATTGCAGGAAGCCAATAATAATAATAAGAGGAAGAAGAACGACAAACTTTGCTCGCCCACCACAGTCTTGGATGGTCCTTACTGGGGCAGCGCTAGGTTTCAGTCTTCTTCTTTTAGAATGGTGAAAAGTGAGCGTTACGGATCATTTCATGCCGGTAGCTTTTGCCCTCAGAACATGGTTGCCGGAGCGTGGTGATGGTGATATGGTTGCTAGCGAGAGAGGCAACAGGAAAAACTCTTGGTTTCTTGGTTCTCGGAGGAGAAGCGACGTTGGAGGGAAAAGTTATGTTTCCCATCGTATGGTGATAAAGGAGAAAAGTACAGTAGCAGCAGCATTAGTATCACGAGGATGAAGAAGATGGGCAGCTTGAATAGTCTCTCTCATTCCAAATTCCATTTCTGGGTAAGTTTCTCTATGTTCCTCTCGAAAGTCGCATTTAATCTCTCTAATTTGACAAACCAAACCATTTTATTGTTTTTGTTATAATCATTGTACTACTACATCCCAGAAACTTGTTTGATTTGTTGTCTGAAACACGATAGGCAAGTATCTACGAAGGCTTAAGCAAGTGGCTCCATGGAGCAGAAGGGACAAGAAGGATAGGTTGCAATTATAATCTTCTGCATGTAAAATATTTCATTATGAAAGTTTCCGGATTTGCTTGGTCTGCATACGTTAGTAGCAATAATAATAAGCCAGACCCATTTTCTAGATTCATAAACTCGAACTGGAAACATTAGCAATACATTTATAAATTTATCATAAAGAATCATCCGGACAGTTTTGCCCAAGATATGCACAAAACTCAGGACTCATGATCATGTACAAATCCCCCATGTACACACCTACAAACACTACAACAGCTACAATAAAGAAATGGAAAATTACTTGCATACAATAAACATGTAAAATTAATTGTGAAAAACAATTTTCATGGCAGCAAGGGATTAGTTGCAAGCCTCTAACGATCTAGAAAGGTAGCATACGCCCCACAGTCCATCCCAACAGCAAACCAGCGCTAACAAGACTTAGCCCCAATGCAAAAGCAACGGCACATGTTGTCATGCTCGGTCTAGGCTGGTTCTGCTTTCCTCGTCTACCTTTTCCTGTCTTCTGCAAGCTCTTCAGTGATTGGCAACTGTTTTTGGATGTGAAGACTGGAAGCTCGTTGTTCTTGATCTGAAGATAAACATCTAGCTGCAGCATTTGAACCACTGTTTATAGGAATAGATTTGTGAGGCTTGTTGAAGATGAGCTTGATGACATGCTCCTTCTCTGCGTAGGCTTGCTTCACTACTTTCTCAGCTTCCCTTGCACGTGTTTGTGAGTGACGAAGTGCTTCGAGTAGCTGAGCCTTAGTAGGATCAGACTCTGTAACTTGCTCCATGAAATCCTTCTCGGTTGTACTATAAGATTGCAGTCAAATAAGTTGAGATAGGTTAAATAATTTTAGTCAATCTTTAAGTATCTGTTGGCTAGAGACACAAAATAATGTTCATCTAAGAAGTTATTTGGAAGCACATTATAAAACAATACCAGAACGAAGAGTTGGAAGCATTGCGCATCTGCATTACCGATTGGACTGGAGACAGGGTCTGTTTGGGACTTCCAACCGAAGAAGATACTTCATCACCGTTGAAACAAGCAGAACGTTCGTGCGAGTACCTCCTTATATGCATCTTCTGAGGTGGAGGGAGATCGCAGTTCTCAATGAAGTCCAGCGACTTTTTTGCAACCAGGGAGGCTAGCTCATCTTTATCTGTCACACGCCACCATGGCTCGGACTTCCCACATTTGACCCAGGGAGACCCAGATGACCAGATCATAAGAGAAGTCATTGGTTTTCTTGGAAACATCACATTCTATGGCCTCCGTCTCCGAAAATCCACAGTTTTTCATTGTCTCTGCTGAATCAGAATATTCACAGTTCCTTTTTCTGACAGCACCCGAAGCATCTGGTGCATCTTCCGGTTGAACTCTACTTACGTCAGAGCGAGAGTTCACTTCAGATTTCAAGCTTTCCACTCCATCCCTAAGGCATTTAACAGCTCATTTGTTGAACCCTTTGGGGTCCGTAACTAGGCTGTAGCTGAAGCCACCACCTCATATCAGAGGCTGGATTGGGATAGTAAGCGATCCTGTTGAGCGGCATAAAACCAACGGCAGGCTGATCGTGCGCGCCAGCTACACCAATGGGGCTAGAATCAGCCTGTTTAGAGGAAGATGACGTTTGGCAGCAAGCTAACTTGGGAGCTCTTTTGGCATCTTCTTGGACAAAGAAACGATTAGCTGTTCTTTGCCAGACTGCCCTTACTTCAGCTGCTGCCATTAATCTTCTCTTCAGCACATTTAGCTGTTGCAACAAAAACGAGATGAACTACTAGTCAAAACAAAACTAACCGCATTTGAACCTACACAAAGGTTCATAAGTGATCAAAATAGCAAATCTAAAGTTGATTTCATTGCCTTCAATCGAAATCTAAAAGACTAATTTCAAGTGAACTTCAGATGCATCCCCAGACACCCACCATCATGAGATCATCAAAAACAGGCAACACAATGTAAATTCCGAACTTTAATTTTGATTCGTTTTAGTATCTAAACTTTCAGTTTTTTCAAACCATACCTAAAGCTTAATTTCGTTTCATTTCAATATCCGTTATTAAAAACTTTAATTTTTGAAAACATTAAAAGTTTAGGTACTAAAAAGGGCCAAAATTAATAGTTATGTACTAAATACTTTGTTTACCCTAATACTATTAAGAGAATTTGAGGTTATTAAAAGAGTTCAATGTTAACTATATGATTTAGTAACTATTTTTATATAGTAGGCGCCAAGCCGCCAATATCATAAATAAGAAAACAATAAATGGCGTCTGATATCCAAAACAACCTTTCGGCTCGCCTAAGAACACTATGTGTGAATACTAACAAAGAACACTACTGACTATACGTGAAAGCAATGTCGGGGGTAGATAAGATAAGGTACATACATACATCTCTTATAGCCAAAGAAATGGATAATGAAAATCTTCATATACTATTCCATGAACGTTTTAGCAGGTCAATGGCTTCTGGTTTACAGGCTAATAAAGACAGATTAATAGTAAATGGAGTTGGAATAGATGCTCGATTCATCTAAAGTGAAAAGAGAAACAGGAAGTTAATTATTCAAGTAAGAGTTGAAAAATCTTCCTTGTTTTTATTGGACTTGATTATTCATGAGCCTGATCCTTGGGGCATTGAGTTAGAAAGCAAGAAAAGAACTGAGAAAAAAGAAAACTAGGGGTTTTAGAGGTTGACAGAATCAAACACGCATGCATGGAAGATAGCGTGAGACTGAAGTTACAACATCATGGCCCTTTGCCTTTGCGCCATATCCATGCTACACAATCATCGTATCACTCCCTGGCATCGGAAACTCTCTGCTTTACCCTTTTATATTTAAGTTTAATGTTGAATTTGTGTATTCTTGTTTTACAGTTTTATTATCGTAATCCTTTCGACTATTTGTATAATGCATAGTGCTGCTTTCCCATTTTATTCAAAGATGCGTTAACTGGCACGAACCAAGCGACCTGTAAAGGGTTGTTATTATTCCTTGAGGCCCCGGTTTGAGTGCCAAGAATATTAGGGGTGTGAACCTTCAATGCCTGCTGGTTTAGGAAGGCATCTCAACCCAACATTGCATATGATTAAGGAAGGGCAGCTGTTTAACAAAAGCACAGCAAACAATTACTTGCCTTTGCTCTCTTTTGAGTACCACAGTGTTGAAGTGGCCCTGTTTCATTGCTTTATTTTTCACTCGAAAATCCCCGTTCATCTATTGGACGGTCACCTCTCAAGTGGTAGCGTGGACCGTCTCCCTTTTATTCGCATTTGTATGCATGAAATATTCATAACATAGGCAAACATGTATGGAACAGAGGGTAGGGAAACTAGCTGTTGATGTGGCATGTGGGGTTTATTTATGCACATTTTCTTCTCAGTCAAGATTTATCTACTTTTCACTGTTTCAAGACAGAAAGATGGTTAAAATCCTTTTCCCTACGTTGGGGTCACAATGAATAATCACGCTCCCAACACCTTATTATAACGTATCCCATGTTGGAGGAATCATGAAAGCTGACAAACATTATACGTTTCTACAAACCTAAAAAAAATCCCTTTTCCACATCCTTTTAAGTTGTTCCCTCTCCCTAGCCTTCTTCACTCCAACTATCATGTCTCTATCTCTTTCACTCCGGATGGCCTACTTAACTGCTTTCGTTTTCGTGTTCGTAATGTTGTCAATGTCATCCTATTTCCAAGCTTTCCATGCGATGGCACATGAGTGGCCTGCAGGGGTCAACCAGGTTCTATGATTTCAGGGTGCAGACGACGAGGGTTACTACATTGTGTAACACCAAAGAGATGTGACGATTAACGGAATGTTCCCGGGACCTGTCGTTTACGCGCAAGAGGATGCTAGGATCGTTGTCAAGGTCACCAATGAGACACCGTACAATGCCACAATTCACTGGTATTTGCTTATAATTTGATTACTTACTGACTACTAGTTATATGTGATTCTCATCCTTAGCCAGTGCTGGCTTATTGTTCTTTTTCAGGCATGGAGTGAGACAGAAGCTATCATGCTGGTTTGATGGTCCATCCTACATTACTCAGCGTCCCATTCAAGCTGGTCAGAGTTTCACGTATGAGTTCACAATGGTGAAGCAGAAGGGTACTTTTTTTTGGGCTTAGGGCCACTGTTCATGGTGCCATTGTTTGGTATCCTAAGACAGGGGTCCCTTCCCCTTTCAAGCACCCTTATGAAGAGCACATCGTAATCCTAGGTACATGATCGCCTTTAATCCGATATACCGAATTATCATTTATAATGTGATCCGAAATGTCATATTTGGAATTTGAAGATTATCTGGAAATGTTCCAGGGGAGTATTGGCTAATAGTTGTAGTACAACTTGAGCAGGAAGTTCTAGCAAGTGGCGGCCTTCTCCACTGGCTGATGCATTTACCATAAACGGTAACCCGGTCCTAGCTACAACTGTTCTAGAAATGGTAAACGAAAAAGCTCGTACCGGCATCCTTATTGTAGAATCATTAGTGATGAACATTATAATTATTGGTTTGCAGATGTCTACAAGATCTATGTTGTACCAGGGAAGACATCTTTTAAGGCTAATTAATGCAGGTCTAAACATGGAGAACTTCTTTGACATAGCTAATCATAAACTAACAATCGTGGAGGCTGACGCCGAGTACACCAACCCATTCACCACGGACCGTGTGATGCCGGGACCGGGACAGACCATGAACGTCCTTGTCACTGCTAATCAGCCCGTAGGAAAGCACTCCATATCCATGGGACGTTACATGTCTGCCAAGAACATTTCATTCCAACACATATCAGCCACTGCATACTTCCAATACTTTGGGGCTGTCCCTAACAGCGTATCTTTATCGGCAAAATTACCAAACTTTAACGATAATCTTGCTGTAAAGACCGTCATGGATGGGCTTAGAAGCCTCAATCCAGTTAACGTTCCTAAATAGATCGATACCAACCTGTTTGTCACTGTGGGATTAAACGTCAACAAATGTCGGTCCAAGACACCTCAGAAGAACTGCAGCGGCATGAACAATGGGACATTTGCAGCTTCCATGAA